CTTCATAAAAAAAAAAATGTTGATGGCTTAAATTTAATTATATAATAGCATAAATCAAAATACATGCAAATTTAATTAGGGGTGATGAATTCTATTAAGCACAGCCTTCCAAAGCTATAAACAAAGCTCATATTCTCTTACCAGTTTGCTGCTTTGCATATTTATGCTGCAGATTGTGTCCCAAGGCACAAGGTACTTGGTGGTGGGAGGAGATATTCTGAAAGTCATGTTGGTACAGACTATGGCTATCATAATATAGTTTACCATTGACAGAATACAGTATATACCATGGGCATGAACAGGAGCAAATGGGAGTTCCCTCTGCTCACATGGAACAGATAAGAGCTTCTTTTAAATAAGGCCGCTTGCAATATATCCCTGCCTTATTCTACATTCCACCAACAACGGTGAGGAAGGTTTAAGGCAGGTTTAGCACAGGGATGGGAAACCTGGTGCCTTCCTGAAGTTGTTACATTCTCATCTCCTACCAACCCCAGCCAGAATGGCTAATGGTCTAGAAGGATGGGAGTCCAGCAACTACGGGAGGGTCTCAGGTTCCCTATCTTTGGTTTAATTGGAAAATGGCCAGTTAAGGTGCACAGGGAAGCAAACCTAACCCTGATCTAAATCCAACACTGTATCAGATTTCACTGCAATTGCTTCTTAGCTGGAGCTTGCATTCTGAATACTTTATACTAAAATTGCATGTCTCTCCCCTTCCCGCCTCAAAACAAATCAGATTTTTGTAAGTAGCAATTGTTGTGAAGATGACCTATGACTGTATTTCCTGTATCACTTTCTTTTTTTCAAGAGTAGCTGTAGGTAATGTTTTCAAACTTTGCTTTCTGCTATGGAGCCTAAAAGGAAAGGAAGCCGAGATTCTTTCCGTGTTGTGTCTCTCCGCCATACCCCCTCGTCCCCCGTGACTCACAATTTTAGAAAAGCAGCTGGAATTGCAAGATGCGATAAGCACATGGTAACTGGCAACGTCATCTTGATAAGAAAATAGCAACATGGGGGAAATAATGGGACCTTATGGGAGGACGTAAACCAAGGCAATTTTGAGTCTGAAAAGGATGTATGAAGATAAATGTATGAATGTGTACAAAGATACTAAACCATAAACAATTCTCCGCTTTCGTAGGAAAAAATAGGCTGAGATGGGGGAAACTGTGATTTTGACTTCTTACCTCTGAATGTAATATAACAGATAGTTCTGCCTGAAAGAGCTGCAGTTTGGTACTCTGAAGTCTGGCAGGCAGTGGTGGATCCTCTGAAGAACAACAGATGCACCAGCAGAATGAAAGAACAGGTTAGAGGGCATGGCTCCAAAATGTCACGATTCAATCTGCTGCTGAGCCTTCAGAATCAGTGCAACCTTCAAACCTTAGTGCAGAAATTGCCAAGTAAACATCTGCTTAGATCTCTTGTGGGGAAACTGTACTATCCCAAAGTTTCCTTAACAAAGAGTGTGCACAAGATAAATTTATATGTAAGTGGACTAACTGAGAGCCCAAAGAGAAGCCTTCCTACGTTATTAGATACGGGCTGCAATTCCTTTGAAGTCCTTGGGGTGGGACTTATTGTGAAGTAACTGTGTAGTCCTATTTATGAACCACAGATATTAGCACCTTTGAGCAAATACAGGGTACATTTTTCTTACCAATGAGTTATCAAAACTAGCCTCCCAGTTATCATGGAGAAGAGGGGATGGGGCTTCAGTCAAAGCAACTTTCCCAATCTACTGCTCTCCATACATTTTGGATTACAACTCCCATCAGCCCCAGCCAGCACAGCTGTGGAAGGCACCAGGTTAGAGAATTATCTCATGGCATGTCTTTCATGCAGCCTTGACACCTAGGACTTTTGTTGTTGTTGTTGAGAAGTTTCTGAACTCTGTTTTGAGTGTTTGATGGTCCTGCCTGTGTTGCCATTTCCAGAGGTCTGAGGTTGCAGGGTCCCTGTCTCCAGCACCCCACAGCTACCCAAACAGCAGGGAAAAGGAGCTGTTTAGCCACTGAGAAGAAATCTTCTCAGCCATTTTGCTTGTTGGAGCCAATCAGAGTGAAAGGAGATGAATTGGCCATTGAGGATTGACACTTAAGAGTCACTTTGGAGAAGGCATGCAGGAAGAGGGGTTGTTGTTCTGTATGCTCCAAAGCTAAGTATTTAAGAACACTGAAAACAAAAGGTGTTTCCATTTCAAGAGAATGGAGTGCAAGCTGGTTTTTTGGTTTTTGGGTGTGTTTTTTTACATATAATGGAACTTCAAGGAAAACACAACCTAAATTGTTCCGAAAGAAGATATTGGAGCTTCCAAAGCATTTGCCATTTACGTGCACAGAAAATAGTAGATAGAACTGAAATGCATTCTTTCAAGATTCATTGCAACTCAAGCTCATGTTACCTTTTCAGGTTAATCCGCTTGAGTAAGACTATGCATTGACTGGAGAAATTCAGTTGGAAGAATTCAGGTGTGATTGATGTAGGCTAGGCAAAGATCCCAAGAGGAACAGGCCAGCAAAAATAGCTGCTACTTAAAATGTTGCTCCCAAACCATCAAGTTGCACAGCAACTATAAAGCAGTGGAATGTATAAACTTTACACACACACACACATGCACTTGATGTCCCAGTTCTTTCTAAATCGAAATTATGCTTGCTTGGTGGCATCTTGTAAATACTGCTACATAAAATTCTTTTATCCTTTCAGAATGTGGTCTCATTTTGAGACAGGCTGTTGCCAAAAGATTAAAACTGCAGCATATATATATATTTCATAAATGCATAAATAACTTCAGGATTGTTCTGTCACTTTTATTTATATCTGAATATAATTTTACAATGCTTTATCATTTTAATAAGAAACAACAGTTTGGCAGAATTCCCCTCTGAATCCCGAAATCTGCTGTCATTTTAAAAAACAAATCACCCAGTTTCAGATATAGCTTAGCCATTTTAACAGGGTAATCCTATTTGTGTATACTGAGCAGGCAGCCCCATTGAGTTCAATGGGTCTTGAGACTGGGGTGCTACTTCTTTATAAACATGCTTAGAATCAGACTGAAAACTCACTTTCCACATACTTTGAGCAGGAACCCCTGCAAAGAACACTCAGGATTTTTCTAGGCCAAAATGTCAATATTAATACAGTACTGTGATCAGATTCGGAGGTAGCAATCACAGTTCAGTAAACCATGGCTGCTGAGGCCAAGAATGAGCATCAGACCCATGCAATACTGCCTCCACCTTTACCTTTGCACACAAGAATAGTTTGAAAAGCCATAAATTTCCATTATATCCATACTAGAAAACTGTGTTTTAATTTAATCAGGATGTTAAATCCACTGAGTTGGAAGAGTGCATGTTCTAGAGAGGGTGGGAAATGGAAAATATGTATGTTTCCCTTTTCTTCCTCGTAGAACATCCCTGGATAGTTCAGGGAGAGGATTTTGTTGACCTCATGACACACATTCCTCAATCCCCTCCCCTCCTGGATACTTACTAAGGCCTTTTATATTGCAGCCCCCACAATGTGGAATTTTGTCTGCTATCCCGGGAAATGTATCTGCCACTCCTTCACATCCTATTTTTCCCTTGTAATTGGAAATTGTAATCCTTAGGTAACCCTTTGATATATGTACTGCTGATTGAAATTTGTTTTTGTTATGATTCTAGTTGCTTGGTTGTTTTATCCCCCCCTTTTAACAATTATTGATTGTTATTTGTTTCATTGTTTTGTTTTAATTTGTTAGCTACCCTGGATACTTTATGGATAGAAATGTAAGAATGGGATCCTTTCATAGACAATTTCCCCCTGCTATGAGATGGGAAAACGAAGAGAACAATTCATTCCATATTAAGCTTCTTTAAAATTCCATTGTTCTCTGGAAGTGATTAACCAGAATCTCACCCCTTCCTTTTGAAATCAGTGGGATTTAGGCAGCAAATCTAACCACTTTACTTGGGAATAAGCCCCATTAAATTCAACAGGAAATACTCCTTCCATGGGCCCATGCAAAAAGGTACAGCCTGACCTAATGTGAGAATTCATGGTGACAAGGCCAGTTGCACCTCAGAGGGGATGGCATTCCACAGCCTGGGAGCTACCACGGAAAAGGCCTTCTCACACACTGATGCCACGTGAACTTCACATGGCAGTGGAACTGCCAACAAGGCCTCCCCTACAAATCCCAGCACCCAGGCTAGTTTACATGGGAGAAGGTGCTGCTTCAGATATTCTGGGCCCAAGTCACTTAGGGCTTTATATGTCAAAATAAGCATCTTCAATTGGACTCAGAAGCGTAATGGCAACCAGCACAGGTCCTAAAGAAGCTACTCAGGCAATAATGTCTTCCAGCACCCTGGCTGGTGCATTCTGCACCAACTGCAGCTTCTGGACCACCTTCAAGACCAGCCCCATACATAGTGCATTACAATGGTTGACTGGAGGTCACCAGAGCATGGATCACTTCAAGTCAAGCTATTTCATGTCATCCTTGGCAGGGAGCGGGAGGTGGGACTCCATTTTGGGAACTGCACCAAAGCCCCTAACCACCTTAATTCCACCTTGAGGGTACAAACCAAACTTGACAACTACATTTCAGAATAAAACAAGTATGTGCAGTAGATGAATTATCATGTGCATAGACCCTTTTGTCCTCCTCACCTATTCCAAAAAGATGGATTTTTACCAGCATTACAAAGGTGGATGTATGAATTTCAACACATACACAAAAACTGGCTTTTATCCACTTGCAGAAACTAATACTTTAGTGTTCCAAATTCTGGAAGAATGATCTGGCCCCTTTCCCTGCCTGCTGCAAGTCTGTCATAAAGGAAAAAGACTGCAAACATCATCTATTTACATATGTTCCTGTGATGGGTGACCGCATGTCAGACACAAAGTAATATCTTTTCATTTGTCTGACAGCTGTGACAATGTGAATGAAGGAAGATTTAAAAACAAAAATCCTGCGGGAAGCATGCTGAAGAAGTATTCTATTCCTCACACTTTAAAATGACATAAAATACAATCCAACCAGGCATTGGAATTAAGCACAATTATAATATCAGCAAGGAATCCTTTTATTTTTGAGGGGAGGGGAAGAACTCATCACTTAATTTTTTTCTGAAGCCATTTGAGTCACACATAGAACAATCTGAGAGAAGAGACGTTTGAGACAAAACAAGATCATTCATCATCGCTGGAGGGGAAGAAGAATTTTACAGCCAGCCTTAAAATTAATCCCAAATGAGGGAGTCTCCTTCCAACACGAACTGAAAATTGGCAGGTCACTTGCTCTGCAAAGGAACGGTTTCTGCCTGCACGTTTCGGAGGGCGCTAGGACCCTGCGCGGGAGCAGCAGGACGAAGGCAAAGAAGACAATAAATTTGTTCCATTGTAATGAGAACTGTGAGTGTTGGCAAGGGGCACTTTTTCACAGGGCCTGCCTTCTTCCACTAACGATTTTCAGTGCCTCCTGTTAGCCAACCCGGGCAATTTGTTCAGTTATTGCAACGGTCAACATATTTGATCTTGCGGGGGGAGGAACCCCCTCTCCACCAACAGTTTAAATTAAGAGAGGGGGGGGGAATATGAAAGCAAAGCCCAGCTCATCATCAGCCTATGCAGGAGCAGGAGGGGTTTGGGAGTCAGCTGTATGCAGGAAATCTCTCACATCCTGAGTTTCCGTGCTCGCTCTCTCGCTCTGTAACTGTATATTAATGGGGCTGTTCTCCAGCCCCAGCTGATGAAAGTTTCTCTCTCAGTCTAGGCTAAGATGTCCATGCGTCGCAATGCAGAGCGGCTACGCTCCCTTCCTCCTCCTCCTCAGCCCCCTGCCCAGCTCTTGCTCCTGCTGCTGCTCAGCCTCTTAATAGCACCACCATCCGGGGCTCAAGGTAAGTTGGAAATGCTTATATACGTAACATGCATGCATGCACTGCACATAACTTCCTTGTCGCCAAAGCGGCCCTCCCAAGCTCTGTCAAACGTCCACGTTTTGCATTTCTTTTGTCCTGCAAGCAAGCCGCCCTTTCGGCATATTTTCTCTGCTGTATCTCCCCGGCACCTCTTCTTCTCCTCCCTTTATATTTTACCCCCGAGTTGGTCACACTGAACAGTCCTCCCCCTACCGCCCCGCTCTCCTTTTGTGTGACTGGTATATAGAAGGGAGCAGCGAGGAGCCGGCATTTCTCTTTCTCCGTCTCTCCGGGCGCTTCTGTCGGCGGCTCCTTCGCTGAGCGGGAGGCTTTTGGCGGGGGTGGCCGGGGGGACGCTCGCCTGGCGCGAAGGACGGAATTCCCGCCCGCCGGCGCCCGAACGCCTCCCACGAGCGCGAGCCCTTCCAGAGGCGGCGTTTCCCTCAGCGCAAAAGCGCGGGCTTTGCTGCTCCGTTTCGAAAATGGGCACAAGAGGCGCTGCTGCCGCTTCGCGCCGGTGTTGCCGTCAGTCACTTCACGCCAAAAGGGGGTTTCCGAGAGGCCATCTCTCCCCCCCCCTCCCCAGGACTCCCACCCGCTTTCAACAGCTGTGTGGAAATGATAAATGTAACAGGTGAAACTCCCCGTCCACCGACGCCACCATTGCAGTCCTGCATGCCTCGTGGACACCTGTTGAATGCCAGCCTGCCTGCCTGAGTGCTGTGAAAGGCAGAGGACGGCGGGGGGGGGGGAGGGAGAGAGAAGATCCGCTTCACTTTCAAAGGTTGATTTGAAGACAAATCACGGGTGAATCCTAGGAACAGTGAAATGTCCCAGGAAGGGTCCTCAGGCAGGATTACCTCCAGCTAAAACTTTGAAAGGTAATTCCCGAATTCAGTGGGGATTCACTTTTCAGATAAAGCCATAGGAAGTATGTGTGTGCAGCCCTAGTTGTACATGCAGTTGCAGAAGTTTCTTATTATTGTTGTAAATTAAGTGGTGTGTGAATATGGATTTCGGTACATAAATAACAACCCGCCCTGTTTGTTTTTTTCCAAATAAGCCTTTTCTTCTGTTTGTTTTCTGATTTGATACCAATAAGTCACAGAAAAGCAACAACAGGGCTGTTTTTTCATTGGCATGCAACTTTTACACTACAGTTCTATGCACACTTTCATGAGAGTTGACATCATTCTGAGTAAATGTGTGGAATTTTACTTTTACTCATGTTACTAGAAATAAGTGTGTTGACCTGTGTGCATGGTTGGGTGCCCCAAGAATAGAGGCAAATATAAGTGAATCTGTAGTATGATAAAGTACACAGCCTTGTTCTCACATAACACTGCCATCCTTCCCAAACCAGATGCCCTCCAGGTGCTAATTTAGACTGCCACTCCCACCATCCTTCACCATTGGCCATGATGGCAAGGACACATGAGACTTGTAGTCTAAAACATCTGGAGGGCAGTGGATTGGAGAAAACTGTGCTAACCATGGTTTGTTTGGCCCAAGGGGTAGGTAACATTTTTTGGCCTGATGATCACATTGAGGGGTTGCTATCTGTCCAAGGGCTACATACCAAACTAAGCACATTTAACACATGCAGTGTGTGTACAAATCCACATACACTCAGTGGCGGGGTAGGGGAGATGCAGTTTGCACACACACACACACACACAGTGGTACCTTGGGTTAAGAACAGTGGTACCTCGGGTTAAGGTCCATTCTTAACCTGAAACTGTTCTTAACCTGAGGTACCACTTTAGCTAATGGGGCCTTCCGCTGCCGCCACACGGTACTATTTCTGGGTTAGCAGAGTCTGTAACCTGAAGTGTCTGTAACCCGAGGTACCACTGTATATATATGTACACCCATTCAGATTGCAGGGGTGGGAAGCAGACAAGATGAGCCTGCACACATGCACATTCACACAGAACAGATGGAGTGGGACGGACTCAGGAGCAGATAGAGCCACACAGAAAACAGGATTTTCATTCTCCAGGGCAGTGCTAGAGTAGGAGAGTCTCCTGTTTTAGCAGTTCCCTAGGGAGGAAGAAACAGAGCCGCATCTTACCTTTGAAAAGGTCCTTCTTCCTATGGTATGGCACAGTTGTCAGAAGGTATTTGACAGGAAGCATTAAGAAAAATTTCTTCCTGTTTCATCAGCCTTCCAGAGATGTTCTAACAAGTGCACTCACCTTTTAAGACTGGTGCAACAGAGAAAGAAGCTGAAAAGAGGTGACATCCCCATTCCCACATCAGCAGTGACCACAACAGTGGAGGCACAATGATGCCACCTGCTGGCTATTTTTTATTTGGGGGGGGGAAGGTAACCAAATTATTTGGTGGTTGGCTGGGCTTCATGGATCACCTAAAATCAGTTGGGGTGGGCAGTGGACTTGGGCCATGGGTTAGCCACCCCTGGTTTAGTTAAAGTGAGGCTTGTTTGACTATCTGAACCCAGCCCAGTATATTAACTATGCTTTGTTTTCTGGAAACAGCACAATATGAGCAATGTTTTATTGTTGACATGAACCATGGCTTGTTTTAATGATGGTTTGGTGTCATGTCTGAACCCAGCAGCTAGGCTTAACCACGGTTTGTTTGATCACACCACGCCAGGTGCTCAGCCTGCTGTGGAAGCAACTGAGGAAAAAACAAGTTTGGGTGAACAATACATGGCTTGTTCATTTGCTTGTTGTACTATAGCTTACTGTTGCATGTGAATGCAAGCAGTGTTTGGAACCTTCCCCTTGGAATGTTTTCTCAGTATAATATAGCTGCAGAGCTCTAATTCAGATTAAACAATGTAGTCCTATACATGTTATAATTATCCCCCACTGAGTTCATTTACACTTATTTTCAGGGAGGCATGTACAGTATTGCAGTGTGCTAAAACTGGGCTTTTGCATGGAACAGAACCTTCACCACCACCCATAGGTGCCAACTGAAATAAGGCAAGGCCCAATGGTGGTGTGTTTTTGGCATTTGTTAAAATAACCTTGTTTGCCAAGCAGTTGCTGGTTAATGATACTTAGCTTGTAGTTTTCCTGGCTACTGTGGAGGTTGCTGTAGTCTTTTTTTAGTTTTGTAATTGTGAACCAGCTTTCACTTTAAAAAAAAATGAAATGCAGCATAGGGGTGTTTTAAATAAATAAATAACGGGATAATGATATGAGTTGATGAAGGCTATCTGTGACCCACCGTGCTGATAGATGCAAAACTTCAAGCGACATTCTCTAGCTCTTGTCAAGCACACATGCTTGTGGGATTTGACTCACAGTGTACCTCTGTACTGAATTATGCTGCTTCTAGGCTAAATACTTGGCACACAGGATCCATAATATGATCGGCATGGTATTTGTGTTAGTTTAAAGAGAAAAATTATACACCTGAGATATTAAAGCATAAAATGGGTTACTGTGAATGTAGGGTAGGCACTTCACAAAGCAATTTTATGAGTGCTTAACTGCCCAAGTGTTTATGTAATGAATTTAAATAGCTCTGAGAGAGTGTTTAAGAACTTAGATGAATAGAAAAAAAACCCTATACTGCTTTTTGTAGGCAGCTTATTCAGTCTCTCTTATATCACATATCAGGTCTGTTTGTTTCTTTGGACTGCCCCATTCCCAATGTTATGTGTACTTTAAAGTCAAAGCCAGTTTTGGATAATCTGTTAGGGTACTTGTCTCAGCTGCAATTAATACAATAATTACAGTACAAATAATGTATTGAACTAAAACACAGAACATATAGAATTGCAGACAGATACTGATCTTGCCAGTTTGTCCCAGAACCAGATGGACACAACAACAACTACAAATAAAAAGCTGAGATAAACCCAAGCTTCTGTATTTGAAACGTTCCTCATTATTGAGGATGAATTCTGCCTTAATTTTATTGAAATGACCTTCTGTAATCATTGAGTGAGCCATGTTATAAAAATTTGTTTCATTCGATTTTATATTATGAAGCCCATTACATATGCTTTACCTATCTACATTCCATGCAACATGATTTGTTTAGTATGAAGTATCATCGAATTGTAGAGTTGGAAGGGACTCCGGGGGTCATCTAGTCCAACCCCCTGCAATGCAGGAATCCTGCCCACAGCCTTCCCTGAATGATTGAAGCTTGCACTTAGTCACAGGCAAGCACATGGCCTAATTAATTGTTCATTCGCATCTATGTGAAATTGCAACAGACCTTCAAAATAGGAGATTTATGCGTTATTTAAAAGTATGCAAAAAAGCAAAGTTAGCCTTACTGGCCAGTAACAAAAAATCCAACCAAAACATCACAAAATAATTTGCAAGCTTGCAAATTCTCTATAATTCTTCACCAGCTAGATAAATAAACAGAATGGGGAAGGAAGGAGAGGGAAGAAGAAGAAAGTTTGCTGACTCATGTCAAAGCTATGGGGTATGTATCTGGTCACAGTTATAATGTGAGAGGAGGTAGCAGACATCCAGACAAAGCTCTCTTAAGTGCTCTTCAGATATTAGGTTGCACCAAGGACTGCCAGGAAGAAGAAACATAGTAATGGCTGCCTTACCATCTCTAAAACCACAAAAACTAGAACTGACCCAGGGACTAGATCTGTCCCTTCCCACCTATCAAAGAACCCGTGTGCTTTTCCTGGTTGCCTGTGTGAATAGTTGCAGACTTCACAACTTGAAGTATTAGCAAACTTCCCTGCCCCTGTCCCTCCCTATGGATTGTTTACCATCGAGCCCAGTGATGGCCAAACTTGGCCCTCCATTTGTTTTGGGACTACAATTCCCATCATCCCTGACCACTGGTCCTGTTAGCTAGGGATGATGGGATTTGTAGTCCAAAAATAGCTGGAGGGCCAAGTTTGGCTATCACTGATCTAGCCCAATGGAGAGTTAGGGAGAATCTGGAAGGTTGCACGCCATTTTGCAATATTTTAAATCTTTGTTTTGTAATATACAACTGCAAGAAATAATGAAATGGTG